GGGTGGGGCTACCGGTAAATTCTTGCCATACAATTCCTGTGATAAAAGTGGAGACCCTTCATTTTCTGACCTACACCTTCCCTGCCTATCCTTTGGTCCCCAGTGTGATAAGCTTTCTGTAGTTTTCTCTTTAAGATGTTCACCTTTTACTTTTTTAAAGCTTTGATATGCTATTTCTATTGCTGGATTTTCCAATTATAGTTCCTCTATTCTTGTTCACAACTGTAGCAGGGCAGCTTCAAAAGGGCTAGTAAGAAAAAAAAAAAAAAGGGCTAGTAAGTTTGTTTGTTTGTTTGGGTTTTGTTTTTGTTTTTGTTTTTTTTGGAGAGGTTTTTGCCATAGGGCGCATGCGCTCGCCAGACAGAGACAGAAAGCGAGAAATCATCCCCCAGTGGGGATGGCCATGCCTCAATCCCTTCTCCTCCATTCTCCTCTCGGGATCTTGGGCACATACACGCGCCCGGTGTGAGTTTAAGCCACCGGGTCTCGGACACGAACCGCAGTCAACTACGTGGGAGTCCAGCGACATAGCCATTATGCTAACTGCTGGTCCCAAAAGGACTAGTAAGTTTTGTGTTGATGTGTTACCAAACTAAAACAGCCCTCTGAAGATGGGAGTTGATTGACTGACTGACAGTTTGGGGGGCAGACACCCTCTACAGGGGGTTACACCCTGATCCTCCCCTCCTACGAGCCTTTCCAACCAGCCAGCACCACGGACGCATACAGGCTGCTGGCATGGACAGGCCGACCCAGGAGAGGACACTCGCCTGCAGGTGGGCTCCAGCATGGTAGTGCTTTGCATCGCAGTGCTGCCACAGCTGGGGCCGGCTGGGGTTTAGTTGGACTTGCTGCTGCTCACTCTGACCACAAGAGCACCTTTAACAGCCGGTCTGCTTACCAAGGAGGCAAGCTGTATTTCGGCTGCATCCTGAGCAGGCCTGGCTCCCATCTGTGGTTGTTGACTCCCTGCCATTACCTTAGCCCTGTGCATGCTGCCCTCCACCATGAGGCTGAGTGGCTGCCCCTGTACTCAGAGCATAGCCATGGGTACGCAGACCACCTGCCTCTGGGCCTTGTCCTCCAGGGCCTCTCCGCAGCGTCAGAGTCTTTCACATGGGTCTGACCTTGGAACCTTGCGGTTCCTCCTACCTCTGCTGAGAGGATCTAGCCAAGTCACGGAGTATCCTGGAGCTTCCATAACAGCAACAGGAAGGATTGCTCCTACCCACACCCCTTATAGATTTTTCAGGCGTTGGCAGATACTCTGGCCAGATGTCTGTATGCGTGTTGCATTTTCCAGCATGAACAGGGGTTGGAAGTGATCATTTATTTTATTTTCAGTTAGACTTTTTTTTAAAGTCGAAACCCAACTTTAGAAGTAAATTAGCCAGTCAACTATCTGAGACCGAGAGTTGAGAAATGGGGGCCGGGAGTGAGGAAGAGCCTTGGTTCTGCTCCTGAACAACCACACATAGGACAGGAATTGGAATCTCGTTGCTGGGTCATTTTCATTGTTTTTCAAGTACTGCCAAGTCCAAGAATATGTATGAAGACTAAATTATATCCCCTGCATTCCATGTCTGATTGAATCCTCCTCATCGCATGGCAGTCTCATACATCCTATTAAAATATTCAATCTTGTTTTCTTACTTGAAGAGCCTGTCTGTAAAGGGCAAACTTATAGAAAACCCGTTCCCTAGAGACAGGGTTCCAGCCACACCGGGCTATTTACATGTTTTACTGTTTGATTGGCTGCTCTTGGGTTTCTGCCGCCATCGTGTTTGTGAGTTAGAGCTGTGGGATGCATTTTTAATTACACGGCTGTGTTTTCAATTGAAGAAACAGACCAGGGCATTTCCTAGCTTCTTAGTTTCTTTTTAACCTTGCAGAGGTAACCAGTGTGTTAACCAGTGTGTTTTGTTTGTCTTCTAGGACAGAGTTGTATCGATCTCTCTTTGGCCAACTCAATCCTCGGGACCAGGGCCACGAGGACTGACCTCGCCATGCTCCCCACGCAGCCCGAGGCAGGGAGTTCAGCGCCCAGAGTACCTTGGCCGGTTCAGCTGCTCATCCAGATGCAGAAACCCATTGACTTCCTGGGGAGGCGTTATCAGGAAATTGCCTGGGAAGGTGCTGGATTCAGAGTGTGCCTAGTACGCACCACCACCACCGGGTCCTTAACCACCACTAATAAAGAGCGCTATCACTGCCGCCTCCTGTGGGTGGAGGAGGAGTCAGTGGAGGGAGAGCTCTAGCAGGTGGCACGCTTGTTGGGAGGGTTTTCCTTGTTTTCTAGTCAGATAGCCTCATATGATGTAGAACTGTATTTTCTTTATCCACTCACCCGCTGTGGTGAACAATGCTGTCATGAACGTGGAACAGTTCTTCTGTGTATCGATTAGAGTTCCTTTGGATGTATTCTCAGAAGAGTGTTTGCTGGACTGTGTGTGGGTTCTCTTACTGGTTTTCAAGGAACCGCCACACTATTTTCTGTGAGGGCTTTGCTAGTTCCCATTCCCACCAACCGTGGAAATGGGCTCCTTTTTCTCTGCATCATTGCCAACACTTACCTTTCATCTTTTTAATAACAACCAGTCGAACAAGTGTGAGGCAACACCTCTGTGGTTTTTATTTGCATTTCCCTAAAGATTAATGATGATGAACATTTTCTATTAACCTGTTGGCCATTTGGATGTCTGTTCAACTCTGTTTGCATATTGGCTTATCCCCCAAAGGTTCACATTTTGGAATTTGGTCCCCTGTGTAATGGCATTGGGAGGTGGCGAGGCCTACTGGGAGGTGATTTGGATCATGGAGGCAATACTGTTATAAATAGATTAGTGATGCCTCCAAGACCCAGTGAGTTCCAGCTCTCGGGAGAAGGGTTAGTTCTTGCAAGAGCACACTGTTCTAAGGGCGCACTGCCCACATCGCTCAGCACGCACCTGCTGTCTTCTCTGCCTCTGTCCTGTGCTTGACATAGGTCAGCCTGACGCCTGCCTGGGACTTTCCAGCTACCAGAAGTGTAAGTTAAATAAACCTCTATTCTTATAAATTCACCCAGTGCAGCGAGGGACTAAAACAAGGTCCTCTGCCTGTTTGTTTTTTTAAGACAGAGTCTCACTCCATTGCAATCTTCCTGCCTCAGCCTCCCAGCTGGGGCTATAGGCACACACCCCATACCTAACTTTCTTTTTTTCTTATTTAATCATTTTATTTTATTTTATTTTATTTATTATCAGAGAGAGAGTGTGTGCAACTGTCAATGGGTTGTGGTCACACTGCAATTCCTATTCCTCCATTTCTCTATCCTATCAGGATTTTGGGCACTCACACACACCAGGGCTAGGATTCGAACCATGAGCAATCCAACTCTATATGCGCAGCACTTAACCACTGCACTACTGGGTCAGCCCCCTTTCCTCTTCTTCAACAGGGAATGACTGTGTTGCCCAGACCAACCTCAAACTTGCAATCTTCCCAGTTCAGCCTCCTAAGGTGCTAGGATTACAGGCCCGTGCCACTGCACTCATTCTAGGTTGGACCAGAATTTTTTTTTCCCCAGCTTCAGAGACTTTCTATTAGTGACAAATGCCCCTTCCCCAAAAAACAACAATGAAGTGTTCTGTGTGCTAACAACATAGCTTAAAGAAAAAAAGTTAAAGTTCTGTATTTTTATAAAACTTGATCAAAAATAGTATTTCAAACTGTACAGTCACCAGAAGGACACAGTTATGAAAACTGCACACACTTCACCTTCCGCTTTCTGTGCCTGGTCTGTTCTGGCATCTCCATTTTCTGCAGGGTTATCCCCAACCTTGCCAGCATCAGCTTTTCCCTTTTTTCCTTTGGGTACCTTCTCTCCCTTCTTTTCAGGGGCCTTTTTAGACTTGGGCTCTGGCTTTGGAGTAGCAGGATTCGCAGACAACCTTGCAGATCTTCTCTGTGGTTCGTCCTTCACCTTGGCCTTATCTCCTTTAGCCTCCCCTTTAGCCTTTCTGTTGGGCATGGTGGCGACATTGGCGGGGTGTAGGTGCTGGACGTGGGGGATGCAACAGCACACAGGCTTTGGGCAGTCCACGGGTCGCTCTCGCCTCTTCCTCACACTGCTCCTGGTTGGACCAGAATTTGAACTCAGGGCTCCCATGTGGTCCTAGTCTGTGCAGCACAGCATCTTAGCAGCATGTGCCACAGCTGCTGGGCTTCTACCCCGCCTCCCCCCACATTTTTAGTTTGCTATGGGGTGCATGCACTTGCCAGAGAGAGAGAGAAGGCATCCCCCCGGGGGAGGGGAGGGATGACCATACCACAGTTCCTTCTCCTTCACTCTCCTCTGGATATTTCGGGCACACATGCACACAAGCCCGGGTGTTTCTCAGGCCTGCCTGTTTTTCAAGCTGTTGAGTCTGGGAGTCAGCCACACCGTTAGCCATGTGGAAGCTGGTGCCTTAACTATCCATGCAACCTGGCTGGCCTGGCCTTTGCCCACTTTTTAAAACAGGTTTTGTTTTGTTATTAATGAGTTGAGTGTCTTATACATATTAATGTTTTTTGTTTTTCCTTTTTAGGAGAGATTTTTGCCATAGGCACATGTGCTCACCAAAGACACAGAGAAAGACAGAGACAGAAAGTGAGAAATCACCCCTCAGGGGAATGACCACGCTACAATCCCTTCTCCATGCTTTCGGGATTTGGGGCATGCATGTATACGCACCTGGCGTGAGTTTTAAGCAGCCGAGTCCAGGATTCAAACTATGTGGGAGTCCAGCGACATAACCATTACACCATCTGCTAGTCCCTAGATGAATGGTTTTTAAGATGTATTTATACACAGTGGAATACAATTTAACCTTTAAAAAAATGCTATCACTCCGTCACTGTGGAATGTTAAGTGAAATAAGCCAGCCACGGAGAGCCAGATACTACGTGACTTGACTTCTAGGGCCGAACTCCCAATAGTAGAGAGTAAGGCGATGGTTTCCAGTGCGCTGAGAGAGGAAGGGAGAGGTGCGGACTGCAGGCTGCAGAGTCCCAGTCAGGAGCAGTGAATTCTGAGATGCGTCTGCACGGCAAGGTGACTGTAGTCGTCATGTGTATTTCTCACATCACATCAACAGTACATTTCTGTTGTCTCACTACAAAAAAATGATACGTGTGAGGTGATGGATGTGTTAATCAGCTTGATTTAACCATTCCACATTATATTCATTATTAAAGGTTTTAATTTTTTAAAGAATTATTTAATATTATTTATCATTTTATTTTTTTAATTTGCAACAGGGCTCATGTGCTCACCAGAGACACACAGAGAGAGAAGAAGTGAGAAGGCAGGCCATCAGGTCCAGGGCCCAAACCGTGGCGGGCCACGTGGAAGTCCAGCGCCTTGACCACCATGCCACCTATTGGCCCCATTGTATACATTTATCAAAACATTACATTTTACCCCAGAAATGTGTGTACTGGGTTGTCGGAAAAGTCATGATGCATTTTTACATAGAAAAAATATGTCATGACTTTTCCGACAACCCAATAATTATGATCTGTCCATGATAAATAATTTTAATTTTTCAAAAAAAAATTTTGCCAGAAGGCATGTGTGGTCACAGAAGAAAGGGGAGAATGAGAAAGCACCTCCCATGGGGTATGGTCAAGCTGTGACCCTTCTCCATCTCTCCCTCCTTTCAGGGTTTTGGGCATGCAAACACACACATACACACCCTCCATGTGTTTGTCAAGCATCCAGGTTCTAGACTTGAACCAAGGTCAGCAATGTGGGAATCCAGCACCTTAACCACCATGCCACATGCTGGCCCCTGATTTTAGTTCTTTTTTTTTTAAAGAATTATTTTATTTAACTTTATTTATTTACTTATTTATTTTAATTTGACCAGAGAGGGACAGAGAGATAGAGGGAAAGTGAGAAGGCAATCTGTCAGGTCTGGGACTTGAACCATGGTTGACCATGTGGGAGTCCAATATCCCTAGCCACCACACCACCTGCCAACCCCTCCTGATTTTAGATTTTCTAAAAAATGGGCCAGCAGGTAGTATGGTGGTTAAAGGCACTGGATTTCCACATGGCTGACCGTGGTTTGCCTCCCAGACCTGCTGGCTTGCTTTCTTACTTTCCCTTTCTCTGTCTCTCTCTGGTCAGATGAAATAATAATAATAAATGGAGTTAAAATAAATATTTCTTTTTTATAAAAAGGAGGAGGAAGTCCTACAGGTGGCATGGTGGTTAAAGCACTGGATTCCCACATGGAGGAGGACTGTGGTTTGAATACTGGACCCAAGATCTTGAAAACCACAACAAATAATAGTTAAATAAATTTTTTTTGGGGGGGAACCTTCCCAAGAGGAATAATTTTGGGTGGAATGCTGTTTTCTGGGTGGATAATGTCTAGTGGTATAACCATGGCTTTGAGGAGCAGAGACTTCCCCAGACCCACAAGGCATGTCTTGGAGACTGTACCTTGGAGATACTTGCCTGATTGTCACGAAGTACAAATCTCTGGCTCTTCTGTTTTTTCCCTTCCTTTCATCTATAAAGATTCTTCCAGAGTCCTTTTCCAATCTCACCATTCCTAAATCACTTTATTAAGATTAGTTCTAACATAAATCTAGCAGGGAGGGATGATTCACTTGTTTTTCAGGCAAAGGTCAAAAGCTAGAAATTAAATCGCTATTAGGGGGATTTATTGGCCTGCTGCGGTCAATATGCAGAGAAGATGATCTTGTGTAAGTGCTGTGTGTGTATGGGTGTACCAGCCCACAGGACTGACCACCTCACAGGACTTTTGCCCCCAATTTTTATTGAAAGCTAAATTAGAGAAGAAATGTGCATCCAGGCAACCAAGTGCAGTTGTTGTTAATACTGGGTCTTCTGAAAAGTCATGGTTGTGTTTTTCTATGCAAAAATGTGTCCTGACTTTTTCAACCACCCAAATAGCTAGTCCTTTTTTTTTTAAATTTGCTATAGGGCACATACATTTGCCAGAGAAAGATGGGAGATGTGGGGAGGGGTGAGACAGCAGATGGCCATGCCACAGTTCCTCCTCCTTTTGGGATTTTGAGTACACACACACATCCGATGGGTATTTCAAGCCGCTGGGTCCAGGACTCAAACTATGTAGTCAGCTGTGTGGGATTTAGCCACCTTAACCACCATGCCACCAACTGGCCCGCTAGTCACTGTTTTTAAAGTCAAATTTTGTTCTGTTTTAAAATGTCAAAATCAAGTGACAGACTTCTGTGCCCAGGAATCTTGTGTATCATTGACTTGGTGTCTGGGGATGGCTGCATAGTGCCCGAAGGCCAGACTCCAAATGGAGTGAGGCCTGAATGCGGTGCGCGCCACAGTTCGGTTTTAACAGAAGTGTGTCTGCTGAGCTCAGGATGGGGCAAAAGGGAGGGTGGGGGGCTTTTCCATCTCCTATTAATTGGACCTTGGTACGTGCTGATTTGTTTTTCTGGTCTCAGCAGTTACCTCTTGGGCTTAACTGTCAGGGAAATGTTTAATTTTCATGTGTCTCTAGTTACCCAAAAGATCAATCTACAGAAGCAGAGTTTCCCCCACATTCACCCCTTCCAAAAGGATCACTTTTG